TGTACCCACTGTATATATATATATATATATATATATATATATATATATATATTTATTTACCTGTGTGCTTCTAATCTCAATAACAGTGTACTCGAAAGGTGCCCAATTGTGATCAGTGCTCTGCAGGGTTTTTTTCTGCATGGTGTGCAGCTCTGCCTTTCAGCTTATGCACCGAATGGTTCTCCTGAATCACTGCTTTGCGGGACTGTGTGGGTTTTAAACTGAAATCGATATGCATTTAAAGACAAGGGGATGGTATTGAAGCATAAATAAAAGCTGTCCGTTTTTCCGTGGATAAAGAGGCGTTTTACTTGTGCAGCGTGAAAGACGGCAGCTCCTCTTACAGTGCAATATTTAATATATTTGTTGTCTCTCCTTTCAGTGTCTGTTGTAGATCCAGAAGTTCCTGTGGCCACCACATCTGCTCTAGAGGAGATGGCTCTCTACAGTAACAAGCGCAAACTACGACAGGGCCGCTGCAGCCTGGAGGCTCCAGTGCCCACATAACTGTACACTCACACACTAATGCATCTGAACTGTGAAGATAAAACACACATAGTGATCATCTAATGCTAAGAGATGCCACACATGGCTTAGAATGCTCTGAAATACACATTGTTGACAGATATTAAACCACTCTTATTTCAGTGCCCACAACACAGGTTGGGAGGTGAGTCTCCCAAACGCTAGTCTTGCCATTTCAGTTGAAAAGGGTTGCTCCGATTTTACTATGGGAGGCCCAGAGGATGGCTGATTGATTTACCTATTTTACTGTTTTTCTGTCTGTCGGCATTTTAGAAGCAGAGTTATTTTAAGAGATGCTGTGGGTGTTTCTTTCTAAACACTTTCAAAACCTCCTCTAGAAATGAAAATGTGGAAAGGCAGAAAAGGAGCTATTTAAACGTAACTCTGTTCATTTTTTGGGAGATTCAGTTTGCAGACGACATACTGCTACCTTCACTGCCCCATGTAAGCCAGACTTCCACTTTTGTTGCTTTAATTCACAATCAGAAAAAAAGTTTTTATTCCTTTTAAATGTAATTTATTGATGTAATATACTGTTTTTAATCTATGGGATTCCAATACAATAGAGGAACAAATTGAGGCTTTTTGACACATGTATAAGCTGATTACTTGTTATTTTGTGACGAATTTAGATTTTTGGGTTTGGGATAAATTTTCTTGCACACAGCATTTTAAAAATGAAAATGAGGCCTTGCCATAAAGCTTTATTTCGATTTTCTATCCTTATCAGTTTCGAAACAGAATTTCTTCTTTAAGGTGATGCAAATGAATGTAATATTTTTGAAAGGTTGCATCTGACCTTATTTAAAGATCTGTTATAAACCTTTTCCTAATATGTATGATCATGCCATATCATAAAGACTGACCTACTGTATTGAGTAGCGTCATTCTAAACCTTTTAATTGATCTCTAGTCTTCCTTTAATGGACTAGGAGAATAAAATTAAGTGGATAATGGTTTCATAAGATTTTTGTTCCTTTGGTGATGATCTTCCTCAAGGACACTAAAATGCATTCTCCATTTTTATTTCTGCGTCTTGTTCTGGGCCATCTATACACCGAATCATTCCCTTTGCTACACAGAGTGACCAGACTTGAGAATTTCACTCTTTGACAACCATCATTTGCCAGACATGACTTTACCTCTCCATAAACAGATGGTACAATTTTGGGTGTGGGAGGAGGAAATTGAATCATCGGAGAACATTTGGTCTTTATAAACACCTGCAAATCTTGCTCATATCTTTTCTTTCTCTTGTTCTGACAGGTGTGTGAAGGTAGTAGATGTTTTCTAATCTACATTTTAAATAGTTGAACTTTCAAAGCCACTGAAAAGCTCATCGTGTAAATAATGTATAAATGCTAAAAAAAAAAAAAAAAAGCAAAAATCGCATCTGAGCCTTTCTGCCCCAAGACCAAACTAATGTCTGAAGGGTATAGATGATTCTACCAGGGTCTTGACGACTGATCCTTGTGTTTGTATATTGGCTTATTGCAATTTTACTGTCAATCCTGTGTGAGGACTAATATGATAGACTTTTATTATTCCTTCAAGTAAACCGTTTTATTTCACTGTTCTCAAATCAGTTGTTCACACCCTAGCTGCCATCAACACTGTGTCCCGATGAACCTGTCAAACATGAACAAAAAAAATTTTTATTTAATAATATTAGCTTTTGTGTTGCTCTCATCGACTGAAATTCAGTTTAATAATGGTTTGGGATTGCTCATCATTGTATTTTTTAAAAACTGTAGTTTGAGGAAAAAAAATAAGTTGGTTTTCTGTAACCGATGGGATAATGGGATTCACTACATTTTTACTTTTTCAAAGCAGAAGAGTTTGATTTCTTTTGTTGTTTTCTTGTCTTGATTTATTGTTGGGGAGGATATTCTTTTGTTTTGGTTTTTTGCTAAAGGGGAGGGTGGGACTAAAGGTCTGTAACTAGTGAATTTGTACAACCAAAGAAGTCTATTTTGTGGTTCAGGAATAATAAAGTTTACTTTTCATTTAACAACCTGATGTACTGGGGTTGTTTTTGCCTCTGATTAGAGCGAACTATGGTTTTCTTAAAGTGGAAAATATATTGTAAAGTGTAAACTGACATTTAAAACATTTATTAAAAATACACAGCAAGTTATTTTCAGAAACTAAAAAATTATCCACAATTTTTTATAGACATTGTCTTGTCTTGCGTTTGAACAAAATCAAGTTTAAGGACAGATTAGCACATGATACAGCACAAGCAGGTTTCAAGTAGCAGATGTTTTCATATGTCCTACTGAATTCACACATTCATGGAAACGTGCTTCATGGAGTGTCAAGTACTCTGAAGACAGACTGAGCATACAGAGCCCTTCATCAGATGACTGAGAGAATAGGAGGGAGTTGTGTTTTACTCCTGCTGCCCCTCACAGACTCTGAGACACCTGTCTGCTTCCCCTCTGTAACCATACTGTATATCATTAAATATATTTAGCATTGCAATCAGCATCATTTGAGTGCAGAATAATGAAAGCTAGCATCGGGTGTCTGTGAATGTCTTACCCTCTTTAGAGTGCTGTTATAGGCATTGTCAAATGACACAGTACTGTCTGCATGCAACTTGTGATGGAGACTATCACTTAGCCCTTCATCATCCTCCATCTGTCCAGTGATACAACATCTGACACAATCACACTGGAACAAGTCTCTCACGTTGTCAACCACTGAATAGTTTCTGCTCTTTACATCATTTCCAACAAACATGTAAAACGTTTCCTGTGATGTTCTAAGTGGTGGACAAAGATCTTCACTCTTTGAAATCAAAATAGGTATAAAACTGTTTAAAAGAAAACAAGAATTATTAGGAAGCATTCATTGACGGTTGTTGGAAATATAATATTTTGTAATGTCATAAAAAGAAGTGGTGCCTTTTAATAGATAGCATATCCATTACAGTTCAGATGTTTGGGGTCTGTTAGATTTTTGTTTCTGAAAGAAGACTTGTGTTCACCAATATATCAAAATATTACTATTTACTATGTTTAATCCATCAACCCCATACCCCAACCCTAAACCTTCCCTTACAGTAATTCAAATACAGTAATTGTGTTATATTCGCGGTAGCTAGAAGGGATACAGCTACAAAACAACAATAAATATTTTTTCCCACCTATTAAATTGTGTTTTATTAAAGTCTACACCTAAACCTACCCTTACAGTAATGCAGATACATTAAATATTGTTGTTCAGTATGAGAAAAAGGACGCAATATTGATGTGCGCATGCGCAGTAAACCCTGGAAGGACAATCTGACGGGTAGGATCAAATGTCAGGACACCGGCCGAACCTTCTCTAAGACTGACAAAACTTCATCCTGCAACAGGAAAGACTCAATGTACCAGCTCTCAAACTCTAGCAAACACAAAACAAAAGCACCATTATTGGCATTAGAGAGAGATGAGCTTATGTATAATAGTGAGGTGCAGTAAATACAACTATGAATATATTTGTATAGATCAGGTAGATAAATTCATATGTTTTTGTTACAGAAAATGCTGACAATTATATATTACAACTTATCTGAATGATGGAGTTATTTAATTTCTCATCAAAAATGGAGAAGCCTGAGAGCCATGGAGAGATTTCAACATTACGATGTTAGCAGGGCACGTGCCCCCTCAGATTTCTAAACCAAGTGGATTTTGAATGGAGCTTCCAAAAGACAAAAAATAGCCGAATAATATTTTTTTTATATTTGATACAATCGCACCGGTGTGATTAGATCGTTCAGTGCTGCACAGCATCAGCTACTAAATTCAAATCTGCGTTCGGCTCTTTGGCTGGCGCTGAGCCAGAGACAGACGCGTTTGTACAGCGCTACATTATAACCAATCGCACACGAGTCTGTTGAGCTTATGAATGCAATGGCCAATCAGAGACGTTCAGATGAGTCATCGCTGAAACGAGGTGTTTTGTTCACTTGCTCGCTGACTGTGCAGATGTACGAATGTAAGTAAGATATTAAAGGGGTCCTATTATGCTTTTTCACTTTTTAAATTGTAGTCAGTGTGTAGTGTGTATGTTTGGGCATAAAAAAGATCTAGAAAGTTACAAATCTCAAAGTTCACTCCAAAGGGAGATAATTAGTTTTTTAAAAATCCCTTTTCAAGAACTACACGAATGGCTCGTTTGGACTACAGCGTTTGTTTTCCGGACTTTGTGATATCACAAAGCGGCTCATTGGAATAGATACGACTTATAGATTAAATGTTAAAACGGCTTGCCATAACAGCACAGCCTTGTTCTCCTTTAGTATGCGGTTGATCTCACTTCCTCATTCTGCTTTGAAATCTTCAAAAGCCTCAGCTTTGGATGGAGGAGAGCTGAGGAGTTCATGAAATTTGACATGCATTTATTTTCATCGTCTACAGTTATTATTAGCAACTGCGGTACTTGGTACCGGTCAGCATAGGTCTCCTCAAGCTCACCAACAGTGCTAGTGTAAGGAAGCACTAACTCAGTTCTGTGTAGTTCTTCTGGAGCTTGTTGGGGTTCGTGTGTGGTCATGTCAGATTGATTCACTCATGTTTAGAGGCTGTTTGGCTTGCACAGTTGCATTTTCCAGTGGCCGTTGACTCACTGCTCATTTCTTTCTGCTCAAGATAAGATTTACTGAAGTACTGAATTCACAACATGGTGGTCCATTTTCAAAATTTGGTTGGTTACTCCAAATGCTCCTAGTTTATGGTGAGGTTTTGGTTTTTCCAAATATACATAGAAGGAGGCAGGGATTGTCTGATGACCATTATGGCCTTTTACTAAGTGGAAATTATTTTTAGAATGACAATTTTATATATCTAACTTTCTCAACAAGCATTTACATTCCTAGAAAAGTGTCACTGAAATGAGTGTGTAGATGGACACAATTGCATCACACTGTCCTCTATATCACAGAGATTTCATCATGTTTATTCACAGAGAACGTGGCAAACTAAAGGCTGGAATACACTTCACAACTTTTGCCCAGATTTTTGCCCCTGTTTGCAGTCTTTAGATTTGACCTAACCGGAATTGAGAGATTTCACAGAAAATCATGTGTTGTATGATGGGCACAGTCACAGACTCGTGATTCTTTAGCTTCAGACCATGATATAAAAAATGTTTGATATTTTGAGCTGATTTTAGAACATTTTGTGTTCATTTCTCATGCATCTCCTAGCAAGGAAGTGCCTGTTTCTGTGTGAGTTTGTTGTGTTCGGAATGACTCTGGTTGTTCATGATCCTCAGTCGTGTAGTGTATGGTGAGCAGTTCTTCTCCGTGAATATTTACAAAGTCAGCAAGTGTATGATGCTGCCTTACACTTTAAAATGTTACATTGTGTATTTCAACATGAATATCTTGATTTAAACATGAATACTTAGTTAATTTTTCACATCCTGTCTCGCACATTAGGGAAAAAGATTGTCACCTGCTGATCTGTTTGTCTTTTCTTGCTTTACTTGGTTTAGGTGACACAGCTCATTGATGTCTCTGTGAAGAGTTAGCGAAACCAAGGCCATATCCACACCTCTCCATCTCTCACAACAGCACATACCGACCCCTGCACCTGTAGCTGAGTTAATGATGCATGAGACACCAGTTTCTACCTTTTCACTTTTCACGAAAGTATTGTTGTCCACCAAATGTGGGGCCATGTGGGTAAAACATTCAAGTTTTTGTCATTTATTTTAATGTAATGAGACCTTTAATGACGTTTCTGGCTTTCTGATGGTGGTTATGTCATATTGTTTTTCATTAGCCAATTTGTCAACAGAAGTGATGAGAGATAAGAACAAACCTTTGCCCCTAACAGTGCAAACACAACCTGATAAGAATTCTGTTTACTGGAAATAGACTATTTTTGCTGAAATAAATATGCATTCATCTTTTTCTTAATAAGCTGATCAAATACCTCATGACTTTATGACTTGACCTCTTACCTCAAAAAGCAGATTAAAAGCTTCCTCTTCAGTGTGAACCAAATTTAAAGACAAGCCTTTAACTGAGACTCCGACCCCTGGTTCTTCTTCCACAGTTAAGACCCCACTATTCAAACTTATGTGCAAGTCTACCATAGTCTCATTATAGATTTCCAGAAAGGAAAGATGAACAGAGAAGGTATGATCTGTGCGACGCTCCACCTCCTGGAAAACCTGAGGAAATGAGAGATTATTTGTTAGCCATAAGAGCAGAAGCACTTACGTGCTTCTTTATCATAAGTCTAGGGCTCGAGGAATGATGCCTCTCTGTTTGTAAGTCTCTGCAGCACCTGTCATAGTGTATGTTTTCCCAGCACCAGTTTGCCCAAAGCACATTATTGTACCTAAACACACATTTTATAAGTATTTTATTTCAAAGTATAAAATGTCTTTGTGAATGTTTGTGATTTCAGATATGCTACATATGTATGCATTTGAATGACCAACCATTGTAGCCCCCGAAGGCTCCCAGCACTACACTCCGGGCAACACGATCATAGGTGTCCTCTTGTGACACATTATCCAGCACCCCATTCAGCTGAAATACCCATGAGCTCAGCTGATTATTCCTCTTTCCTTTATTGGAGTCTTTCCTTGATCTCACATTCAACGTCTCAGAGGGAAAAAAAAGGAGGACAGGTGTAATTAGCATCAATCAATCTCTTTTATTCAGGCATGTTTCCTGTAATTTGGGCTCTTTTGGTGATCCCAAGACTAAGTAAATTAATGATTTCTGGTCTTAATTTTATGCAGGAGGTTGTAATAATAGTGCTTTAAAAATGATTTTAAATGCACAGAATTTCCCTTTTGAAAGTTAGAGAGCGATGCCTTGTTTTTGAATTCTCCAAAGAGAAAGTGTCTCAAATTCTCTTTCTCTTCTACCGAAGGCTAAAGAGGTTAAGTTTTAAATAATTACTGACATTTATTCTCAGACACAGATTTAAATTGGATTGTAATGAGTGCACCTTTTGTCACTGAACCATTTATTTTATTCCAACTCATTTTCAAAAAAAT